TTTTTTTTTTTTTTTTTTAAACTTCTCTGGTAAAATTATAATGTCTGAAGAACACATAATGAGTTAACTGTTTTCGACACAGATAATTATTTGAATTACGCAGGTGTTTTCTTAAAGACATGTAAAGACAGTCTGCAACAGGAGCATGTAATTTTTTTCTTAAAAAAGAAATGAAAGAAAAGGGGGTATCGTATACTCGAGAACAAGTCGTACCAAAAATTCAATAAAAAGCAGGGGTGCGACCTGTCCACTCGATATCATAGAGAATCTATAGTAGTGATTTTCCAAGCGTAGCTTAGATGTGGCACAAGGCCGAAAGTATGGGGCACCCAGTGAGGATCGAACTCACTACTCAGTCGTAAATGTTCAAGCGAGACAAGCTTGCTAACCATTACACCGCCTCGAGGTGCCCAAAGAGAAGTAGACTGTGTATCAGTAGTCTAGGCGAGTAAGTACCCCGGTGCTCGAGCATAAGCGTGAGCAAGGGAGAAAATGAATATATCCCGTCATTTCGATTTTACGCAATCGTCTCTTCCAACTTTACCGCTTCATACATCAAATAAATCGCTTGATCTGCATTGTTCATAATTTTATCATTTAATATCTGATTTACGAATATCATTTTGTAGTCATTTTAGAACTGAAGCGATTACCGGTATCCACATTTGTCTACTAAACTGAACAGTACCGCACTTTATAAGTACAAATACCACGCAATTACAACCAATCGCTTTTCTTATCTTTTAAGCAAAATTTCGAAATGATGGTGAATATTTGAAAATATATAACAAATAGTTATATTTTTACGTTAAAAAAGGGCCATGTTTTTGCGAGTCAACCGCAAATACTCACTTTGACAACTCCAAACTAAGGGTGCGACTTATACGGCAAATGTTAGTTCCCTAAGTGGCGTAAAGGAAACCAATCAATATTTCCTGAGGAGGGTATATAAAGTGAAGGAAGAAGAGTATATAGCACAAGGGTAAATGGTTGTAGGAAGGTTTGTTGAAAGAAGAGGTTTTCCTCGAAAAAACACTTGAAATCCTGTTTTTTTTTTTTTTATTTTTTTTTTTTATTTATTTCAACCTGAACACAGTTCACCGTCGCTAATAGAAATCCGAAAGTGAACCAATTTGCCCGTCTTCCCACGGCGGTGTGATGTGACACAAGGCCGGGTTTAACGTTCACCCGGACCAGTTGTCAACTGATTTTGGCCACTCTTCAGTTATACGACTACATATAAGGAATTTTGCAATTTTAAAGGCCTGCATACATTATATAATTTGTTTTAATAATAAATATTCATCTTAGGTTTTCGGCCATATCACGTTGAAATACCGGTTCTCGTACAATTTATTGAAGTTAAGCAACATCGAGCCTGGTCAGTGCTGGTTGTGTAATAATGGTAATAGTTCGGAAATGTTAATCAGAAAACCGAGTTCCCATTTTATTTATTTATTTTTAATATTCACTTAAGCGCAAATGCCCTTTTTTTGGGAAGGTACGAACCCACAGCTCCTCCTCCCCAACAATAGACTTGTGTCACTTAAAGCCATTATTATCTCCAAATAAAAAATAAAATTGCTTTCAAATATTTAGATTTCGGCATTAAATAACCCAGAGAGATTGATGCTGAAACAAAAACAACCAACCAAAATCTTAATGCTTTTAACAGCTACAATAACTTAGTCATTTTTTTTTTTTTTTTTTTTTTTTTTACAGCTGGCTTCTAAGGTTAAGGTTCATCTAAAAACTAAGTCGTATAACTGAGTGAAAAGTGCAACAATTTTTTATTTTATTTTATAAGCATTGTTTCCATATTTGCACACAACTGGAACACACGCAGTTTGTCAGAGATGATTTTTATTTTGTTAACTTTTTAGATTTAGAGAAACAAGAAAATTAGGAAAAATTTGAAAGTGTGTGGGGAGATAGATATCATCTCGACGTCAGTTTTCCAAATGGGCGGTAACCTTGTTTGCTTTGAAAAATCACTTTCCGAAATTCCGATACTATACCTGAGCTGGAAGCCTAACTACTGACCTCGAGAGCAGATACGCAACAATCGACCTCACCCACCCAAGCTAGTAGTAGAGACTTTTTATTTATTTATCTTATTTTCACGGCTTTGCGTAATTGAATGAAAGTGACAAATCTTTATCTGCCAGATGAGAGAAAAACGCTCATGTTTGCATTCTGATCGAAAATAATATATTATATATATATATATATATATATATATATATAGGTTATTTCTATGCATTCATTCTGGGTTTCCTGTTCATTTGACAAACTTGTCGGCAGAAAACGAAAACTAGTGTTGCGCTCTTTTCCAGTGTGTCCTCAAAATCATTTGCATTTTCAAAATCAATACAGTGTAACCCGGATATAAGAGTTGTCGGGACCGAAGAAGAAGTCTCTTATATCCGGGTTTGGTCTATTTTTAACACAGGCTCTAATTTGGGACCAGAGAAAATCTCTCTTATATCCCAGTTTCTCTTATATCAGGGTCTCTTATATCCGGGTTACACTGTACAAGCAAATGCTCGGACTCGATAATTTCGACTTCACCACAGTCTTGGTAAGAAAAACGCAACTATCCCGGCCACAAAGGATGGTCTTGTTTTTATCTTTTCTGGTTGGAATTTTTTTTTTTTTTTTTTTTTTTTCAGTTGAAAGTATGTGAAATAAAATTGTGGAGAAAAAAAAAAGTGTTTATTGTTTGAAATTTTTAACCTACATTTCGTTACTTGCATTATTTACATTATTCGGACTGTTATCCTCATCTTCATTACCATGTTCACAACGTTTCGGCCTTCATCAGGTGACTGGAATTTCGAACCGAAGAAGGCCGGAGCGTACAACGCCCGAAACGTTGTGAATAAGGCAATGAAGATGAGGATAAAAGTCCGAATAATGTAAATAATTTAAATAATGCAAGTAATACCTCATCTCAGAGATATAGACAGTTACATTTCATTGTTATTTATTTATTTTTAAATAAAGAATTGTCGTGTTAGGCAAAAACGTATGTTTCGCCGCATTTAGCAACAACAGAAGTCATCAAAATCTTATCTCTACTCAATATACATTAACAATAGCCTTCGATTGTTTTAGTTTTGAAATAATGGCTAAATTGAATTCTCGAGAAAGACAAGCACAGATTAAAGTAGGTGGGGGATATAGGTATCATTACGAAATCTCTAAAATATCACTGCGATGAAAACATGCTCCAAAGTCTAAACTTAATGAAAACAAATCGTCCAAAAATCTTTTGTTATTAAGAGGAAATATCAAAGAAGTTTTTAAAATAAATATTTTAAAAACTTTGAAAGATTTGAGCGATTTGTTTTCATTAAGTTTTTTGGACTGTGTTAATTAAAATTTTTATTTTATTCCTTTTTAAAAACATTCGAAATTTTTATTAAAAATCTTGTTTTTCTTTCGTCAGTGGTTGTACTATAAATTAACTAATTAGCATAGCAATTTTTTTGCGCTGACACACACATTAATTTCGAAATATATCGCTTATGGTGGTGGGTGGTGGGGTCTGTTTTATTAGCTTCACTTTGATCAGCGGAGTTAAGTAACATCAAGTGCAGTCAGTACTTAGATGGGATTCCGCAAGCAACCTCCTACAACAGAAATATGTTTCGCCTTTTAAATAACCCGCCAAAATGTTTAAGCTGTAAAAAGAATTTCATCAATCTGTTTCATCAGACATTCAGGTCCTGGTGAACGATATCAACGAAAACTTTCAAGTGGGTTAGGAGATAAGTCGCTTGCGGCTTGAATATTTATTAATTTGGATTGACTATTGTTGCACTAGTTTTCTATGGAGCCTTTTTTAATCCATCGTGCTGGGTTTAAATAAAATCTACTGATGTTTTTACTACACATTTCGATAGTTCTGATTAATTTGCATTATTCAGTTTATTCTTTTCACTTTCTCCATCTTTTTTTCAATTTCTCCTCCTCTTCTTCCTCTTCCTCCTCTTCTTCTTTCTCTTCCTCTTCTCTCTCTTCTTCTTCTTCTCTCTCTTCTTCTTCTTCTTTCTCCTCCTCCTCGAAAATTTTCAATTACTGTGTTTAAATGCTATATCTTATGCAAATTAAGTTTATTTATAACTTGTATAGCTCACCAACAGGTTATCTTTTTTAAAATTCTGAATTTTAAAATTTTTTAGATTTTTTATTAAAAAAATAATATTCTGATTGAATGGGAATTAAAGTTAAAGAAAAAAAATAAATGGTCATTTGTTTTTTTGGGTTTTTTTTTTTTTTTTGTAGAGTTTTAACTAGTAGCCTTTCTCAATTAAAATTTAATAAAACTTTTGCAAAATTACATTTGAACAGTCTCCCAAGGAACTTAAAACATTTTAAAATAATAGCCTTACCCAATCATCAGATGAAGACAAACATGCTAAGTTGGGCTGTGTATCTATTTTTTTTTTTTTTTTTTTTTTTTTTTTAAGTTTCCATTTATAAATATTACATTTCTGTGTGATATCTTTTTTTTTTTTTTTTTCTTAATCTCTTTTCATTTTTATTATTAACATGTCTTTGCTGGTACATAGTTCAGTCTTTTTCAATTGGATATTATAGACTGAAAATGAAAATGCTGAATTTCAAGCCAGTAGCTTGTCCAGCTGGGCTTGGGGAAGTGTGTTAAATGAATATTATGGCTCAGGGACCATCTTCATAGGTATTAATTACAGCTTCTTTGAAAGAGAGGGCTGGGGTCATTACCCACCATCACCTGAGGCATCTCAACAGTGCCACAGGGACATGACAATTTTTGAATGGCTACTGAAATCATACGTTTTAAAGAAATTCAATCTGAAATGTCCGAAAGCTTATAGCAAGGGTCAATCCAAGTCATCTCTGTGAAATTGGGTAGAAAACTGTTTGGGAGCTGTCAATGGTTGTGCAGGCAAAAAATGTCGCAAGTGATCATGCCAGAGGGGTTAACTGTTCCGCTGACCATTGTACTGTTATTAATGCCAGATCCTACACTCTATCCCAGAAATGGTAATATTTTTCATCTTTTCTCCTCTTCCATTTTTCACTTTCTCTCTCTTCTTTTTCTTTCTCTCTTACTTCTCTCCCCGTCCTCTTTTTCTTTTCTCTCCCGTCCTCGTCTTCTCTTACCCTTCCTCCGTCCTCGTCTTTCTCTTACTTCTCTCCCCGTCCTCGTCTTTCTCTTACTTCTCTCCCCGTCCTCGTCTTTCTCTTACTTCTCTCCCCGTCCTCGTCTTTCTCTTACTTCTCTCCCCGTCCTCGTCTTTCTCTTACTTCTCTCCCCGTCCTCGTCTTTCTCCCAAATCCTCGTCTTTCTTCTCTCCCCGTCCTCGTCTTTCTCTTACTTCTCTTCCCGTCCTCGTCTTTCTCTTACTTCTCTTCCCGTCCTCGTCTTTCTCTTACTTCTCTTCCCGTCCTCGTCTTTCTCTTACTTCTCTTCCCGTCCCCGTCTTTCTCTTCTTCTCTCCCATCCTCGTCTTTCTCTTACTTCTCTTCCCCGTCCTCGTCTTTCTCCTTCCTTCTTCTTCCGTCCTCGTCTTTCTCTTACTTCTCTCCCTGTCCTCGTCTTTCTCTTACTTCTCTTCCCCGTCCTCGTCTTTCTCTTACTTCTCTTCCGTCCTCGTCTTTCTCTTACTTCTCTCCCCGTCCTCGTCTTTCTCTTACTTCTCTCCCCGTCCTCGTCTTTCTCTTACTCCTTTCTCTCCTCCATCTTTTTTCTCACTGAAAATAAAACTGATTACATTTCTGATAAATAATATTTAAATAATTTAACTTGCATTTTTTTTTTTAATATCTTCCCGTTAAAACGTAATTACTTTCCAAACATCGTAAGATTCAGTATTGTATGTTTACTGTACTGATTACTGTACTGATTACTGTACTGATTACTGTACTGATTACCCAGTTTCAATTAATGAAGCCATGATACTATACTGTGTAAAACATTATTAAATCCTATTTGTTAATATCACTATCTGAATTTCTAAAGTATTTTATATATTTTAATTTTGAATTTTATTATTACATCCTATATTTTTAATATCACTGAAAATGAATTCGGCAAGCAACTCCAATTTGACTTTAATTATTTGACATTGTATTATTTCCGGCAGCAATTAAACGACTTTTAGTAATTTAAAAGAAAAAAGAAAATATTGCCCTTTGAATCTAGTAAAAACTTTGACTACAATTAATTTAACATGCTTGATTATTTCCTTATCTTTTCAGTTTGAATCTTTTTGACTAATAAGATAATTTCCTATGTGTGCTTCGTCTTTGAAAGCAAATTCAATCAACCTGTCTCTCTTGTCTGTTCTTTCTTAAACTGATTAAAATCTCCTGATTTGATCCGTCAACATCTTGCATATGATTTTGCTTGTTTGTATGTACAATCATGAGACTACTCTGCTTAGGATCAGTGTAGTATCTGTGCCTGATCTCTGGCATTTCAGAACCGGGGAGCTTCGAAAAATATCACGTTGAGACACGGCTTCTCGTATGATCACCAAAGTTTTGTCGAGCCTAGTTAGTACCTAAATAAATGACCCCTTGGGAATGCTAGATACTTATATTTGGTTATGCAAAAATGGGAAAGGTACAAATTCACATTTTCTCCCCCACTAGCTATTAATTAGTAAGACATATCGGTAAATCATTATCTCCAAAAAATTGTTATTCAAAAAAAATTTCTGGCTTTAAATAACCTTAACAAAAAAAAATGATCAATCATTCAGAGCTGAAATCAGTTAAGTGTTCTGATCAAGAAACCCACATTGTAAATATTAAGCAGAATAAGGGGGGTAAGTAGAAGAGTGTGTGAAGAGAAAAGGTAGGATATAAGAGAGAAAGCCTGGTGAATGTCAGTGGGGGAGATATGTGATGATGGGTGGAAGGTTCCTAGATTAACCAATAATTTTATATTCAGTCAGAATTTTGGAAATAGATTGGGCAATTTCAGCACCCCCAACCCCCGTCATATGCACACACACACACACACACGCATATATATATAATAAATGTGAATATCACTTTTTCAACTTTACTCCTAGAAGGTGTATCCAAGCATATACCATTTTGGAATCAGGCTGACTTTGTGAGGAAATTAAAAATATTCCAGGCTGGATCTGAACCCGCAATCATTATTGTGATTGTTCGTGGCAATTTTTTTTTTTTTTTTTTTTTTTGATAACAATTTTTATAACTTAGGAATAATTGAAATTAATTGCAAAATCCAGTGAAAAGTCATCCTTGAAATAAAAAATAGTTTGCATGGAAAGTAAGGACCTACGTACATCAAATTGTTTTTAAATTAAGTGGTGGCAGAAGAATTAATGTTAAACTTTTAAACGGTAAGTGTAAATATTAATGCAATACTTAAATGCAGGAATCAATTTTGAGTTCTTCTGTAGTTTAATGTTGCCTCTCACATTCACTCCTGCCTGCCTATTGTGATGAAGGCCCAATCAAGAACCCTCTGCAGAAACTAGCAAATGCTGTCTAATAGGGCAGCTTAAGTTATGAAGAACTTGGTAATCTGTATGGGTAATCCCAAGGAGGATGAAATCCTGAGAGCTCAATGTAAAACCAGAGCTAATATTTAAAAGAAAAACAGACCACATTAAGGTACCATTACAATAATTTATTTCACCAGAGTCCTTTTAAAAGAATGCCGGATCATCAGATAGCACTTCCAACAATGAAATGAAACGAAAAATGAGATTAAAATTGATGGGTAGTGTAAGATTTTGTAATTTAACAGGGGGTGTGAGAGGGATAGTTAAAGAGACATGGGAGAGTATAGGGAGGGGTTAATTTCATATCTCTCTCAAGTGTACTTTATATTGGGGTAGGAGGAGTGACCAGACCTTGACCTATTTAGATGGTTAACTTAACGGAAATGATATATAGAAATGGGAGGGGTGTAGGGAGAAAAGAAAAATGAAAGCGAAAGAGGAGACAGAAAACAGTAATACAGATATATACAAATGAGTATTACAGCAAGGAGGGAGAGGGAGAGGGAAGTAATTTTTTCCAATTGTTGGAGCAACAATCCAATTCCTGTTGCAGACACCTTCTCAATCACATTTGTATTTGTTTGATTAAGACAAGGCCCAACCAGTGGTTTATACTGCAACTATGTTGAGTTGACCTTAGTTACAGTTTCTGAGAGCGAGAGAGAGAGAAAAAAAAAAAACAATCTGGCAGGATCAACAGTTTGAATATGGCCAGTCTGCTCAAATACCATGAGTTTTTAGTGTTTTTCTACTTTTTTTTTTTTTTTTTTTTTAATTACTGGTGGGTTTCTTTTAACATCTTCCTGGGTTGACATTTATGTTATGTCGTATATTAATTTATGTTTACAGTTTTGAATTTTAACCTTTTGAGCCCTGACTACCAGTTGAACTGTGTTAGAGAAAAATGACTTAATGCTCAGCTACCAGTTGAACGGTGGATAAACACTTGTAACTATTTTTATATCTTCTGTGAAACATTATATACTAATTATTTACGAATTTTGACTCGGGAGCTCAGGCAGAAGTGTTAAAATTGTTCAGGAACGCAGGGCTCAATGGGTTAAGCTTGCACCTGAATTACTGTTTGATGTAGAACCTCATACATCATTGTTTTTTGTTTTGTTGTAATGGATAATTTTTGCACACCATTATTATGTCATTATGTCCAGGAATTACAAAGAATTATACTTGAATGCTTCCAAACACCATGAAAAACTGTTTCTTTTTTTTTTTTTTTTTTTTGTTTTTGTCTCTTTTATTCCCTTTTTTCTTTTTTATTTCTCATTTTATTCTCTTTTCTTCTTTTTTCTCTTTTCTTCTCTCTTTTCTCTCTGTGTGTGTGTGTGTGTGTGTGTATATATATATATATATATATATATATATATATATATATAATTTTTTTTTTTTTTTTTTTTTTTGCATGCTGGAAGAACATTTATTATTGTGGTTTTATTTATTTTAATTTAAACAAAGTTTTAATGTTATTATTTTTATTCATTAATAATAATGTCCCTACAACATACAGGTAGATAGCTAACTAAGCACTTCTAGGATTTCTCTAACATTGTGACAAATATAATGCTTTATGGAATTTTGAGTACTCAAATTGAATAGATGTCAATTTATTTGGATGCAAACTGCAGCCCTTTTCAAACAGAAGTCTGGTAGCCATATTGCTTTGAGAAACATCATCTTGAAGAATTTTTGCCTAAAATTATTTCAGATATGAAATACATCCTTTAAGCAACAGATGAAAGTGAAAGTTTCTTGCTAATAGCTCTCTGTTTGATATTTTCAAATATATAGTGCATTTTGCAGATTAAAAAAATACAGTAATATAATTGAATGTCGCTAAAGAAAACTAAAATTTTGTTCATAGGCTCAAGAGATGTAATAAATTTTATTTTATATTATTTTTCATATTAAATTCTGGTAAAAATAAAATTAAATGTTTTGAGGTTTTTTGAGTGTATGTTTGTAAATTGCTTCTATTGCAATGAAGGAAACCATCTTCATTGTTAAACTGGAAAATTTGTTTGTCCTGTTTATTTCCTTCAAGGCTAAATTATTTTCCAATATTGGATTGTTCGAAATTGTGTTTTCCGAAAGAAAATCTTTTTCTTTTTTTAAAAAAATCTCCAAGCAGAGATAGAAAAACAAAAATTATATCCACTATGACTTTTGAACAGGAGTAGAGGTTGTTTCCTTGTTTCCTCTTCCTTCTAAAATCTACTTCAACTCTATACTTCTAACATCTCTGTATAAACTTTGAAATAGGGATAGATAGATTCACCTATCATCTGGCTCACACTCTACCTGCTTTTTTGGGTTTTTTTTGTACAGGAGAGGTTTATCCTTTGTCTTCTGGTTTCTTCTAAAGTCGTCTCATTCTTTTTAACTCCATGTAGCCCTTTTCATCTTAGTGATATTATCACCTTGCTTGAGATGAAGTGATTAAAAAAATAACATTTTGTAAAATATTACTGACTTTTACCAAAGAGATGATCTGTCAAAATGATCGTAAAGCTTTGTAGTCTAATTTTGCTTTGGCAGATCCACTTTGAACACTACAAATAAACAAGGAACAAATACATAAACCTGCATACATAATAGGTAACATGGCTTCAGGGTGTAAGAATAAAACCCAGTTTGTGGTGTGGGGGTATCCTAATATAGATTTTGAAATAATATTGATTTAAAACAGAATGAATCCCAGAGATTAAAAAAAAAAAATTTAAATTGAAATAAAGGCTGGGTGGGGGTGAGGATTAGTGGCTTTTTTTTTAATATAAAAAATTGAAATAAAAAGATTTACAAAACACACCCAGGCACACAATGTTGTATATAGGTGTCATTAGAGTTAGACATATATAAATCCTTGGAATTGATCAGTCTTTTTTAAAATTAAAAAAAAACGTTTTTGAATGTATATCACCATTATGTAGAGACCAATGAACCTTGACATTATGTCAGTATATCCTAATTTTGATACTGAAGTATTTTGAATCTTGGAGCAAGTGTTTTATCATTTCTCCTCTTTCTGTCTATCTCTATATTTCTCTGCTCCACTGTACCCTGCCATTCACTTCACCTGCTCCAACAGATCTTGTAACAGCTGTCCACCGAACAATGGCGCTGTTTCTCACATATCTCTGATCTTAATGTACAAATCAAATTTGATATTCACATGATTTTTTATAATACATTTTTTTTTTCCAAAAGACAAATACAAAGGGTCTTGT